TTGGCTCAGTTAAACATTTGAGCTCCATTGGATCATCCCACGCAACACTAGCAACTATAGTTTTTAATTATCACTAGATTTAATTTTTAGATTATTATTTCAAATCTATTTTTAAAATTTTAAATTTTTAATTTTTCTAGTAGTTTTAATTTTGTTTTTTCGACCCCCTACCCCACACTTATTTCATACAATGCCCTCATTGTATGCATAAAACTATAAATAATAAAAATGGAGAAAAAGGAACACACTCCCCTGGGGTAGTAGTGGCGAGATCGAATTCTGAACGTGTGTGGAAAACTTGAACACCTTGAGTCTGTGACTTGAACTTGGAATTCATTGATACGTGAAAATGTGCCAGAAAGATGTGAATCAGAAACTTGCATCTTCAAAAGTGTGGTGCATAAGATCTTCAAAGCAAAGCATCTAAATGTGGGAAAGCAGATGCCACATTGTAAAGTTGAAAAAGTAGAGCAAAATTCCATATTTAACCACTCACAACGTTAGTATGGTATAATATGATATTGAAAACATGATGGCCTCGAGCTCACAACGTGAGGAATAAAGGCTCACACCGTGAAAACTTGGTCTTCATAGGTTGCAGATTTGCAAAAAGTCTTCTTTTCCAAATATGATGCAACTGATCCCTTAATGGATTAAGAATCTTTTAAGACTCTTATTTTTCTGGAACCCTCTCTTTTCTTTAATCTCTATTCGCACACGAAATTCACCCCACACTAATAAAAAATTATGGGATTCGACTCTTTTCTCTAAAACAAACGAATTCTCTCATTTTCTCTTGTCACTTTTTTTCTTTCTGTTGGATCATATTTAAATGGTTTATGTTGGGTTTCTAGTTTATTATTGTACTTGGGCTTAGTAATGTTTATTATTAGTGGGCTTATGGTGTTTTTGGTTATGGGGACCAAAATTACATAGTGATTTCGGTTAGCATGGGCTTAGGCGTGTTAAGGCTTTATACTAGGTTTGTATAAATAAATCTTCAGCCATTTAGGAGTTCTAGTTGTTCATGTCACACTCCTAAAACTGAACGGAGGAAATATTCAGGGGTGGAGGACTTCATTTGTAGTATCACAACAATGCATAATAGAAACCAAAGTACAACATTTATTACATAAGATTTTAAGTTTACAACTATGTTTCAAAAGTATAATTTACAAACATAAATATAAAGAAACTTGGTCCTCCTTTAAACATGTTGGTACCTGTTTACTGCTTTCTTGAAAATACAAGTAGTTTTGAAAGGAGCATCAACAATTAAGTTGGTGAGTTCATAAGTATGTTATATAAATAACTTGTAGTTTGTTCTATGAAATATGTATTTGTTCTTCCAGAAAATCCTATATTTTCTATTGTATATACATTTGTTTTTAGAAGTAGTATAGTCTTAACCTCCCGTAAGGCTTTTGAAAAATAAGTTAACTCAGAAATTATATTGTATTCTATACCTATACTTGTAATAAAACTTGTGAAATAGTATTATAGTTTTAATATATTAAAACTATATGAAGTTGTTACTTATTCTTACACGAAACTTATTTATCAATTTCAAACTTGTGAGTTGTCATAACCATACTTGATGACTTAAGCCTCGCCTGAAACACAACGTTCTTCAGGCGTTGTAATACGGTACGACAATTATCATCCCAAGTCTGCCGGCTTGACTGTAGCTAACAGTCGAGATGTGGGATTGTCAATCTCATATAGATCTATATACAAGTGTCATGCTCTCCCTCAAGGAGACTCTGGTTATAACTTTCAGGGCTTTTGTTTTATACTTGAAGTGTGTCTCACAGATACCTTATTGATAATTATGTGTAAAATATTAAAAAGTATCCTTGTAATAGTCATATTATAACTATATCATAAATTATATTTAATATAATTTATATATCTGATTTCATCAGAAACTCTGATTATGTAGTAAACATATGTAGTTCCATAAAGTATATTAACAAGTTTGTATGAATCATAACTGATACCAATTATAATTTATATGTTTATTGTAGCAAATAGTTCCAAATCAGTGCAATAATTTATTTACAATAATAATAAAACAAAAGAATGAGTTTTATCATTTACACGAAAATTTCTTGTATTTTACTTGTATTTCCCTCCTAAAACATTATAAAAATAGTGAAAACATAGGGGTATAAACTCACTTAAAAAGCGTTTCGTTTCTCAAAAAGAAGCTTGTTTGATGAGAAAACCGGCTTGAATCGGGCAGAGTTCCGACTAGAAAAGATGGATATTCTCGGGAATATCGGGGCTTCGGGGCTTGCTCGGGGTGTAAGGTATGCTTCGGGGGCTTTGGGGGTTGTTGGTGAAGTGTTGGAAGTGAAAGGAGTGAAAAATATGAAGTTTTGGTGAAAAAGTGGCTAAAATCCGAGATGTCTCGCAGCCCTTATATAGGCGCGACGGTTCGGTCCGAAGGGGAGTCACTAGACACGCGACATCAGCAGCAAAGCCCACATGCAAAGTCGGAAGCAGCAGCGTGCGAGGCTCGGATTGGACCAGAGTTCGGTCCAATGGGAAGGGGGCACGTGCGAAGCGGAGCGAGGGAAGGAAAGCCGCGTGGCTCGGCTCGCAGGACGCCACCAGTGCAAGGCGTGTCGGAATCTGATTGGGTCTCGGTTTTAGACGAATCAACATGCGGCATGGGGAGGCTATTGATGCGAGATGACGTGGCCGGGGTACTGTTCATGCAAAATTATCCGGATTTTTACTATTTTTCTTTATTTTTGAGCCAAAAACTTATAAAATTCATAACTTTTGCATACGAACTCCGTTTTTGACGTTCTTTATATGCACGCGTAGGTAAAATTATACTCTACGACTTTCATTTAAACTTCGTCGGCTAATTTTAACTTTATTTTTAATATTATTATTTTTAATAAATTGGGACAGGAAAATCCGTTAAAAATTCATAACCTCTTTATCCGACGTGCGTTTTCGTCAGACTTTTTACCGTTGTACTAGTATTAACGAGACCTTCGATTCTCGTTTAAGTTGTTTCGGTTAAATCTCGCTCGATCTTTATTTTGAGTTTTTAGCGGTCTACTGCTAATTCGAACTTTAGAAAAATCATAACTTCTTCGTACGAAGTCAGATTCAAATGTTCACTATATGAAAGTTTATTATTTTTACGAGTTCTACAACTTTCATTAAGGTCACTAAGGCTAAAAAGTAGTTTATCAAAAACTCACTTTTTACGCGAAATAGCGTTTGCCGGATTTGTCGCGGATCTTCGATTGGTCATAAGTTCTTTGTTATAACTCGGTTTTGGGAGTTCTTTATATTTTTGGAATCCTTGTTAAAATCTCTATGACTTGGTTCATCCCAATTGAGATTATTTAACACTTTAGTTTTGAGGGTCAATTATGTAAATATACACAATATGATAAAATTTCACTTTATTATTTCAAAAAGAACTACAAATTACACTATTACATAGGTTTGAAATAAAGGTTTGTTACAGTTCATCATTACTGTATTCGGCTGTTAAGAAGTTCTTGGTGTACCAAACGACTTCAACTAATAAATCGTGTGCATTAAGTGTTATTTGTGTGTTCTTGAATCACTATCTGATTTATATTCCGTATTCTTTAGATAGTTTGATTGATATCGTATTGATCTAAGTGTTTGGGATTTACAATTGGTATTAGAGCTTTAAAATGGTATCAATCGATTCAAGAGCCTTGGGGACTCGTTTTTAGTTGTTTTGAGATCATTGGTTTAATCGAAAATTGATAAGTTTTGATTTAAATTGATAATTTTTTTTGCTGTTCACCGATTAACTATTCTCGGGATTCTTCATATTCATCGTGTTCTTCGTGGATCTTGATCTGAATTTTTAGGATTAATCTGGATCCTTATCAATTAAAATCAAGAAAATTTACCTGATAAGAAAACAAGGTTTTCGTTTCTAAAATCTTAAGGGTTTTTAGTGGGTCTTGGTTAAAGTTGAAGGTTTTCGGTTAATGTTTTGACTAAAATCTGTACAAGAAATAAGCGTTTTTCCGTTTTTGTTCTCGGCAGAAATCAACAGTTCCTGGTCAACATTTTCGTTGTTCTTGGTCAACACTTTTTGGAGTTTTCAGTTAATTCACATGTTGACTTTCCTTCTTTTTCAGTCAATTTTTTTTAATTTTTTCGTGTTCTCGGTTTTATTAATTAAAAAGGAATCTCAATACAACAGTTCAGTGCATCAGGAGTTCGATTCTATTATGGGGACTGGCACTCGAATTCCTCGTCTTTTGTCTACTGATGGGTTTCCGGAATGGATGTTCAGAATTGAAAAGTACATTAAAATACAGGATGCCATGATATGGAGGAATTCTCAGAGGTCCAGTAAGGATTACAAGAACTTTGGCTAATGCAGCTAAAACTGTTGTTGATAAAAGGATAGAGAACTACACAAATGAGGACTTTGAAAAGATTAAAGAACATGATAGAGCTCTTGCCACTCTTACCACGGCCTTATCTCCTGAAATTGCCCAAGGCTTTAAGTAATATACGTCTGCAAAGGATTTATGGGAAGTTTTGATTGAGGTTTATGAGGGAAATGAGGACACGAGGAAGAGCAGACAAGACCTACTTCGACAGAGGTTCAACATGTTTAATCATGTTCTAGGGGAGTCTCTTGAAGTTCAGCTGCAAAGATTTGTTACTCTCACTACAGAGATGAGTACGATTGGGATCGATCTACCATGCTCAAAGATTAACAAGAGGTTGCTGATTTTTCTTCCCCGTAGTTGGGACATGAATGTGTTAGTAATCAAGATGACTAGAGATCTGAGCAAGCGTTCCCTTGCAGAAGGGATGGATATAATCAAGGCATGTAACATGGATGATAAGCAGCGTGAAATCAACCATGTGAATTCCTATTACTTCCAATCTAGGAAATGAGGAGAAACCTTTCTGGGATGAAGAAGCATCTTTTCTTGATTTATGCTCGATTTTTACAAACTATTTTTGATACCATGCATCCTGAGCTGGAAAGGACCTCCAATACTCTTGATGTCAAATCCCTGGGTCCAAACACCTTTGGACTCATGAAACAAGTACGAAAAGCGTCAAAGGTTGTTTTAAAGGGAATAGAAGCACTGGTGAATTTCGTAGAGAGAGAAGGTATTCAAACTGCTTGTGCTCCAATTGATATGGTGGCCGAAGAACATGTGGCGCCATCAAAATCAAATCTTAGTTTTTTTGTTTTGAGGTTTCTGATGATGATGATGATGATGATGATGATTATGATGATGATGATGATTATGATGATGATGAGGATGTTCGTGTGTTTAAACCATCGAAGGAGCCAGTCAATGAGGATGTGATTTCTCCAACTGAGACAGAGAAAGAAATCAACGTTTTGAAGCAATCAAACGATCCAACGACCGAATAGATGGAACCCTTTATCAAAAAATTATAGTCAATTGTGAGGAAGCCTCCCCAAGTAGTTCCTATTACTACTAAGTCTCCATCTTGGAGTGATAAAGAAGATTCAAATGCCCCCTAGTGCCAAGAAAGCGAAGATGTAGAGATCCAAGGCTAGGAGTGCTTATTATTGAACCACTATAGCAACTAACTTCAAATATTGAACCAAATAAGGTTAATCAAGATGATCAAAGCCCAACTTTTTATGAAGACTTCTTAGCTAAGGAGGAAACTTTTGCCTTAGGATGCTCTTCTGCCCCACCTCCTCCAGAGCACGATTCTACATCTGTCAAGCTAGCCAAGCTACTTGCTTTTCAAGATTCTATTATTCAGTTAAGAGGAAAGGGAATATCTATTGGCTCAGGGCAAGGAGGTGATGGAGACTCTCAACAAACCATTTCTGAGCTCAAACAAGAGATTGTAATTTTGAAGAAAGAGTCCATTGAGAAGGACTTGCTGATTGGCAATTTGGATGTGAGAGTTTCTAAGCTTGAAAAAGAAAATTCTTAAAAGAATAAGTAGATCTCAGACCTTCAAGCTAATCTTGGTGGGTTGATAGCTCTTTATTTTATTCTCAAAGACAAATTAGTTGTAAAATTTGGTGATGAGTTCAAGACTTGAGGTTCTGATGATGGAAAAGCTTCAGAGACATCTGAAAGAGTCGTAGTTTGTCCTGCCCCAGATTCTAACCTTTATTAATTTCTTTCTTTTGGCCCTTTCACAGCTGAAGAATGAAAGGAGAAGCAGAGAAAAGTTGATAAGCTGAAGAAAGACAAAATGCTTCTGATGAAAAAATCTGATCAAAATGCACTTGGTGATCACCCAAAGATGTTTATCAAAAAAACCGGAAAGAGAAAATTTGCTGACAGATATGGTGATCGTTTTAGAATTCTTATGTGGGGATATAAAGCTGATAAGAAGATATGGATTGTAAAGCGAAAGAGAGGAAACATTAAGTAGTATTAGAAGCATATTGACTTTGTGTCTTGGACAAAATTTGATCTTACAGAGCTCGTCCACGCACCTTTCCACAATCCAACAAATGAACCCAAGACATGGGCATTTAAGAAGTTCCTAGAAGACAAATTGAAGCAGAACTTGAAGGTTTGAAAACAACATCATCATTCATTGAAAAGGCCAAGGGTGTCATTGATCCCCGCACCAACAAGACTATGGTGAATGTTATGTGGCCGCCTATAATAAAGCGAAAAGGATCCCTACCACTTATCATGTACCTGATGGCTCTTTGAATGATTTAATATATTGGGTATATGATGAGGCTATACCGACTGTCGTAACCAAGTTGAAAAAGGATCAGATTCTTCTTGTTGATCCTAGGGATTTGTTGAAATTTGGCGAGCATAACATTCATACTTTATCCAAACATCATCTTATGGTGGAAAATGAAATGTTTGAAGTTGCTGCAAACGCTTTCATCGGTATGATAACGACAATCATTGATAAGAGGCTGTGGGCAGGAGCGTTGGCTGATTCTGATGTTCATCTTGTGGAGAAGTCGTAAAGTCAACCAACAATAAACCAATGGGGAGATTGTTGGGTCATATTTAAATGGTTTATGTTGGGTTTCTAGTTTAGTATTGTACTTGAGATTAGGAATGTTTATTGTTAGTGGGCTTATGGTGTTTTTTGTTATGGGGACCAAAATCACATAGTGATTTTGGTCAGCATGGGCTTGGGCCTGTTAAGGCTTTGTACTAGGTTTGTTTAAATAGCTCTTCAGCAGTTTAGGAGTTCTAGTTGTTCATCATTATTGTATTAAGATATTAAGAAGTTCTTAGTGTACCAGAAGATATCAACTAATAAATTGTGTGCATTAAGAGTTATTTGTGTGTTCTTGAATCACTATCTGATTTATATTTTGTATTCTTTAGATATTTTGATTGATATCATATTGATCTAAGTGTTTTGGGACTTACACTTTCTTCTATCGATATTCTAATAATTCTGCGGCCAAAACAAACATTTGGTGGAACGTAGAAAACAAACATCACACAATTCGGTTACAAGTTTTAAAACATACCAACTAAAAATAAAAACTCACAAAATAAAACACACCAAAATTACTAAGAAAATAAAATAACTAAAAATAAAAAGGATAAATATTATTCTTCATCTCTATCGTCTCTTGCTCCAATGGTCCTGGTGCTATCCCCTTGTCGCGACCAATACTCGCTCCAAGACAAATAGAGTATTGATTTCCCAAATTAGGTGGTTGCTCAACATTAAAGTGTTGTATCATGTTCTCCATAGTACCACCAATCCAATTCATGCTCATGCTTATTATGCCAAAACACCCAACCATCATCTCATAATGAGATGGTCCTCCTCCCATGGATGTATTTTGTTGCACCGATTGACCTCTCTCACCTCTCCCTCTCATGTTCCTTCATCCTCTTTGTCTCGGTTTTAGGTTGATCAAATTGCTCCCCCTTAACATCACCCACCAATGCATACCCATATTACCAATATATTCATAACTTCTAAGTAACCCATTGTAAGATCGGTATCCTTGATGCATGTTACAGTAAGCATCACTTTGGCACAAATACTCCATACAAATTTGCCAATCGGGTTACAAAATTCCCTCCCGCGATTGGGCTCCTAGCTCGTGACGTTACCTCCTTGCTTGCCAAATATTGCGCCAGAAAGTAAGGGATATTGCAGCAAACGGTCGGTGTGATGATGCTCCTTATAAAAAACAAGTTCAAAGTCATTATTTTATCACCATGTTTTTTGTGATTAATCGAAAACGTCACTAGACAGTGGATGAAATGATGATTTGGAGATCGGATTTGGCTTTCCTGTGATACCCCGTAATGAAACTCACCAATTGGAACTGTCTTCCAAAATCCATACCCATTTATTCCTTGAGAGAAATCCTGAGCAGCTGAACGTTAAAACCTATACAAAAATGGGATACATTGTTTCTTGTTGTTCGTACAATCCCATTCTCCAAGAAACTCGGCCAAGCTACACTTATGATATTGATAACCAAGACGAAAAACCAAGGCATGCGGATAATAAGGATCAACCGTGTTTGCCTCAAAAGAAACCTTCGAGAAAAAATTCCACACACAATTCCTTGAAAACCTCTTCCTTAATTGAAAACAAACTCCTTCAACCGTTACAAGTAAAAGATACCCCGTTGTAAAAAAATGTCTTCGTGAGATACGGGTTCAATATCTCTAACATCCTAATCCCGTTTAGCTTGTTCCAATCTATGGTTGGCGATGTGGCAAACTCACGATTGTAAATCCAACCCAACTGGTTTTTTTAGTTATTCAACATTTCTTGCGGAAGGTCATTGGGAAATTCATAAAACCAGTGTAGGCTTGAAACATTCCTTTGTTGTTGTAAAGGATCTACTCTTGGACCCATATTAACTGCAATAGAACCAGCAAACAAACCCAACAACGAAAATCATAGGTCAAATAATAAGCAGAAAATCACCAAAAACTATGAACCTGGTTCTCACGTCGTGGTCATGAAGGCCACGTCGTGAGTTTGGTCGACAAAAAACTTAGCATCGAACATCACAGAGGTAAAATATAATGAAAAGCAGGGTTGGGGTTTGCTTAGGCTGTTATTCTAAGTCCTTTTAAGTAACATGCAACATCTAAATCGCAAAATATGAATCAATTTTGACCTTTAGACTTCAAGACAATCCCTAACTCTAAATGCATAAAATTAAAAAAAAAAAAATTATAGAGCGGAGATCTTACGAAAATCGGAGATTAAACATGAAAACGAGAGAAATTCAAAGAAAATTAGAACAAAATCGAAGTATGGGACAGCCTCTTCCGTTCATGCGAGTGGTTGAAAAGGATAGTTTAAAGTAATAGTCAAATGTTTAAAGTGGGGTATAAAATGGTCCCCCATATTGTTTAACAGCTCATGTCGTGAGGGGTAAACTCACGTCGTGAGTTTCAAGTTGTGCAAATATCATCGGGCAAAAATTATTTACCACGTCGTGGTTTTTTTTAATTACAAAAAACTTTAAATTTCTTAAAAAAATTCAACCACTCTTAAGTTTAATTAACCCCACAGTTGATTTTTTCCTATTTCTAAAAATTAAGATGACTATGATATTGACCTATCCTAAAACTTAATTGAAATGCAAAAAGTAAAAAAAAATACAAAAACGAAAAGAAAAATGAAAAATATGCAAACCGGCTTGGGTTGCCTCCCGAGAAGCACTTCTTTTGATGGAGTCATTAGCCGGACTTCGTTCCGTTCTACATGGTATTGGTTGGAGGTATGATCTCCATTTCACCTTCTTTTCTCTCCACCTTCATGGCAGTCTAGCCTCAATACCTACTTCCAAAGTGTGATCGACTGTAGATAGTTTGAATAATCTTATTATTCGGGAAGTCAAAACATGCAAAATGAAACACAAGAATAATCAAATCCAATATGGTCTTAGAACTTATGAATACAAATAAAAACCTTTTATTTAATCACCATATTGATTACACATTATAATGTTTCTACTAATCAACTTAATACTTGAATTAAAACAATAGTTGTCCCATGCTCCAAGCATGCACACTGTGTTTATCTATGGTTCTTACTTTGTGAAATAGATCAATTGAAAACATCTTCAATGAAACTCATTTTATAATTCCAAATCTTTACCGTAAATATATGAATACCAATTCCTGCCATTTACTGTAATATTTTAGGTTCTAAACTTATATGCAATGATCCTCTTGCAATGATTATGCACAAAAGTCATTGAAACTTGGCAACAGACACTACAAAGTATTATAGTGGAGAGCAATTCCATGGAAATGAAGTCTCACATTCAAAGTATATTCCTTTGAACATCCTTCTTGCATTAAGCTTTCTAATCTTACATAGGTTTAATGAATAACTTCCACCTATGGAAACATTTCCATATTTCCGTTTTGACTATCACTTCTGAACAAGAGTTGCCTCTTTTCAAAATATGTTAATATGACCCTTCCAAAATTTACACTATACTTCCAACTGTCCATGAGCAATCAATCTTTGGTAAACCTCAGATTGTCCTCGACAATTGATTAATCATTTTCGTTATATCCAGTTCTAGTCCTTTTCCCTCTTAATGCCCTAGGAATTTGGAAAAATGGAACACTTAAATATTATAGCATATGCAATTTATCCTATACCCGAAGCATTTGGGATACGATTCATAATGTCTTATATAAAGACGTGATACTTTACCAGTCTCTTGCTATAATATTTCCACATATAGAATTTCCTTATGTTGAACCATTCCAACATAACATCCATATATGTTCTTGAATAATTTGATTAAAATCTCAATCTAAGCTTTTAGTTTTGAAATGAAGTATGGATTCCTTTCCCTTAATTATAACAAAACAACTTTTCAAACCCTACAACTTTGCGAATTGAAACTTTTGTTTTCTATAATTAACATTGCTAACTCGCAACACTTAATGTAATACTTGTGCTCCCACTAGATTAATAATTACATTCTTATGAGCATAACCTTTATGTTCCCACTAACTTTCACATGTACCCAAAAATAATCTGGACTTCTAGAAATCAATACTTGTTGACTTTCTTACCAAAGTTCAGATTTCTGATACGAGATGCTTCGATAAGACTTCATCTAAGCTTCTCAAACTTATACACCTTTCCTTAAATAGCTCACATGTGTATCTAAACAATTTTAGAACTTATAGACATAAGTTTCAAATGTTTAGACCTTTTGCCATTTCTGACAATTCGAACTATGAAGAGAGATGTCGTAATCATAATCGAATTTGAGAATGCAAATATCACAATTTCTATCTCATTAAAATCTACTTAGTGAAAGAGTTTCCTCACAATCATTTTCATGAATTGGAGAGAAACCTTATGAAACTTAGATTTTGTGGTGTATGTGTTCCTATCCATGTGAATTTGTTAAAACCATGACCACAGGACAAGATTAGTGATAAATACAAACTCGTACGGATTGAACTTGTTCAATCTTAATTTCTTGCCACCCGGCAGCACGAGGGCCTACCATTGCTTCCAGGTTGTTATGCAACCAATTGAGAACTATCAGAACTCACATCCATAGTCAACTTTAACTGGAATGGGCACAGAAACAAGACTATGTCAACACGATAGGTTACAGACCTCAAGTCATGTGCTACTGATTAATAACAGTTTTACTCTTGATTCATTCTTGAAACTTTTCAATATCTTTAAGACTCTAACTGACCTCTTAACATATTAGTTTCTCTTTGTCAAGAACATTCCTTGACAAACAAATATTCAAGAGTTAGTGCAGTTTCTTGTCAAGACAAACACTTTTGACAATCGGTCTTAGTTGATCTTTGTTTTATCCAAAACATCACAACTTACCAATTTCAAATGTACAATAGTAAGTAACATTTTACTCTACATTTGATAAGTGTTATAAACATTTCTTAAGATTATGTCACTCAAGGCACAATCTTGGAGTGCAATTTTAAGACTTGATTTTGGAACGAAGTATGATTAATC